ATATGCAAATTTGACATATAAGCATAGCCGAAGGAGCAAAGTAAATAGTTATTAGTCAAATCAAACAATTCCATTTCAATTTATAAATACATCATGCATCATTCACACATCCGTGATATAATTTTTTCGATGATGCATTTAAATTTAGAATCAAGTTCGTCATTGAATGTTAATGTTGACTCTTCCACGATTTCCTGGCGGAATAAATTTACTAATCGATTTTGTTTACTCATGGAATGATTCCCGAGAAATCGCCGATTCGCCTCGCGAATAATAAAAAAAAAACATGCAACTCTTTCTCCTCGCAAATAATAAAAAAAAAACACATGCAACTCTTTCTCCTCGCAAATAATAAAAAAAAACATGCAACTCTTTCTTAGCAAAGAAATATACTAGAAAAGGATAATATAAACGTTACGGCTACGTGTCACTTTGCATTTCGTGTGTTTAATAGAAAAAAATATATAGAACAGTTTTCGGTTCGCGCCAAGGTTGGTGCGATTTACACAGCCACGAATCTGTCGTCATCCAAACAGATTCGTAGCTATAAATAGGTCATGAATGACACTTGGAAATATCAGTAATTATTTAGTATGGATAGATAAATGCGGGACGCCGTATAAATGTCGTTGTTAACCTCAACATAAACGTTAGTGGGAAAACCTGGACACGAACGGCCTGTTCCATACTCACCTGAAATCTGGATAGTATTATCCCCATATTACTGATTATAATGAAGATTGATTATGCGAATAGCTCCTCGTGGATGTCGATCGCAGACGCATCGGCGACGCACACCAGACCGACATAAAACCGCCTCCCGATCCCGTTTTTAAAATAGTTCTCGTCCTACCCCTCGGGCCGGTTGTGCCGCACCGCGCCGCGCCGCGCCGCACCGCTCGATACGATCCAAATTTAAATCGCCGCCGCGCCTTTTGTTTCGGTTTTATTTATAGTCCAGATCGTCTACAGATCGTTTGGCGCGTCGTCGACCGCCAGACGGTCATTATCATGATCGACGCGGGCGAAAAGAAAGGAACGGACACAAAGATCGACTCCAGCTGTCAACGGGTGCCCGCCAATGAAGTACTTGCCGCTCGTCGCTTGTCGCTCGTCTCTTCGTTGTTCGTTCCAACGTATCTGACGGATCGTGTGTCGCGTGGGATCGCGCAAACACAATTCCGTTTAGTTCCGCGCACTCGTGCGCGACTCGGTCCTCCCGCTTGGCGCTTGCCGCAACCGGAACCGCGCGTTCGGAAACTCATGAAAATAATGCGCACGAAAAAATGGTGCGCGCCGGTGCATTGTGGTGGCGGAAAGGCGTGTAAACCGATATTTTGAATCCTCTTTTATCGATAAAAATATTTTTAAAATTATTTTCTTATAATTAGCTTTTTTATTATAAGCCGGTATAAGCCATTTTTAAAGACAATTTTATTGATAAAAGAGGATTCAGAACATGGACCGTGTAAGTGTCGGTCCACAATAAGTATTTAATCTTTAAGCCGTAAGAAATTGACCAATCATAGTCGAGTATTCTTTTTATATTCGATTATAATTGGTCAATTTCTTCTTAAAGCTTAAGAGTCGGCAGGAGAGACTATGAAAACTTCTATCGGAGATAAATTCCTTTTCACCCATATTACGGCCAAAACGCTGCGAAAAAAGTTATATAATTATGATATATAATCATGATATATGATTTATAATCAAAATATTTGCCTGACAAAAGCTACAGAATGATTTTTGTAAGAAAATGTATGAAAATAAATAATTCATTTATGCGTAAATAGATTTGCACTACAGGACAAGATGCAAATATTTTCATCTATTGTAAATTTTTTTTAAGAGCCAAATTGCAAAATCCGGGTCTGTAGCAAGAGTCATAATTTTATAAAAAATAGAAAAAGACCCATGGCAGAATATTGCTTCTACGAGATAATATGTGGCGGCTGGCGTTGGAGGAGCGTTGTCCACGATATGATGTAGCATTTTTGGTGGCGGAAAAAGATGTTGGCCGCAGTGGGATTCGAAACCTAGGTCCTCAGGTGTATGAGTCTCGAGCGCTACCACTGCGCTGTGCGGGCCACGGTACCTTTTCGTGTATGTTTCTGCTAGGTATTAGTTGTGTGAGCGGGGGACCGCCACAAATATATGGGTGTACTCAAATATCTGCACTGTAAATAAGGAGTAGATAATTACATTTATTTATTTAAG